CCTATCCCTCGTGTGCCTTGCCTACCCGTACCGACTTTTTCTTCACGCACAGTGAAGAACTTCTGGTGGAACTTCTGTGGGATCGATTGGTGAAAAATCAACAAGGGTTTATAGCATTTAAAGTTATTGTGCATTCATATCAATATAAACAAGTAATGGAAACTACACAATATCAAAGTAAAAACATGGAATGAAAAATACAGCAATATTCAATCCACAGAGCACAAAAATTTAACGTGGTTCGATCACAAATCGTGACCTACATTCATGAGAGAATGGCGCAAGACTTTACTTACTGATTTGAAAAGATTAGAAAGTGAAATCGAGCTCAAAATATCAATTTTCAACAGCCCTTTCTCACTCTAAACTGAGCCCAAAACAAGGCTTCAAGAATTCCCAAAAAAGGTTTATTTTTAACACTTTCTCTCACTAAAACAGCGCACACAGCTAACCCACAATGAAGTTCAAGGCTTTTGCTCACTTTCTCTCTCTAAAACAGAGTATACCAAGCTTTCAAGAGAAAACCCAAATTGCAGCCCAATCCCTCTATCTTTTTCTCACTCTTTTCACTCTAAGCAAAAGGGTTTTAATCCTTTTAAAAGTGTAAAGTTCCTATAACACCACAACCATTGGATTAGATGCAATCCAATGACCCAAAATAAAAGAGAGAAAAGTCAAATAAAACTCCCACATGTGTGATTTGTTTTCACACATGTAACAATCTCTCACTTGAAGATAAATCACAAAGTCTTTGAATAATCACCAATGCACCATTCTTCATCCACTTGAGGTTACGTCTCCTCCAACCCCAAAAGCCTTCTACACATTATATTCTTTTCAATTGAGACAACCTTTGTCAACATATTAGCAAAGTTCTTCGCAGTATAAATCTTGTCCATCTGCAAATCTCTACGCTCAAGGGCCAACCGAATAAAATGATATCTAACCTCTATATGCTTTGTCTTGGAGTGATAAGCTGCATTCTTAGCCAGAAGAATCGTACTCTGGTTATCACAATACATAACATATTTATCATGTTTCACCCCAAACTGGTCAAGTAACATCTCAACCTAATCATTTCCTTCGCTGCCTCAGTCAATGCCACATACTCAGCTTCTATTGATGACAATGCAACAATATCCTACAACCTTGATATCCAGCTGACTGTAACACCACCAACATTGAAAATGTATCTAGTGGTAGACCTTCTAATTTCACGGCATCCTGTATAATCCGCATCTACATAACCAACAACTTTCAATGATGAATTTTCAAAACACAAGCATACATTTCGTGTCCCCTTTAAATACCAAAGAATCCACTTAATTGCTTGTCAATATTCCCAACTTGGATTAGACATAAATCTGAAAATAACTCTCACTGCATGGGCAATGTCAGGTCTAATACAAACCATTGCATACATCAAACTACCCACTACAGAAGTATATGGAACATTCTTTATCTTATTTCTATCAACCTCATTCATTGGAGAGTCCCTTTTAGACAACTTGAAGCTAATAGCGTAGAAATAGGTTTACAATCAATCATATTTAAGCGCTCAAGAACTTTATAAATACATTCAGATTGACTTAACCAAAGCTTATCTTGCTTTCTGTCTTCATGGAAGTGCATGCCCAAAATTTTTTTGACTAGTCCAAAATCCTTGGTGGCAAAATGCTTGGACATATCAAGCTTTAAACACTTGATTTCATTCAAATTTTTGCTAGCAACAAGTATATCATCAACATAAAGCAACAAAACAGTAAAAGAATTATATGCTGAACCCTTGAAGTACACACAATAATCAAAATCGCATCTAGAATAACCTTCATCTAGTATAAAACTGTCAATTTTCTTATACCATTGCCTAGATGTGTATTTCAAACCATACAATCCCTTTTTCAACTTGCAAACCAAGTTAGGATTGGTTTTGTTATCAAAACCTTCAGGTTAACACATATAAATTTTTTCATCAAGGTCACCATGCAAGAAGGCAATTTTAATATCAAGTTGTTCCAGCTCCAAATTCAAGTTAGCAACCAAAGACAAAACAACTCTAAGAGTGCTATGCTTAACAACATGAGCAAAAATTTCATTAAAATCAACACCTGGTTTTTGTCCATACCTTTCACCACAAGTCTGGCCCTATATCATATAAGACCATTTGCCTCCCACTTAATAGCATATACACACCTATTCTTCAATGCTTTCTTTCCATATGGAAGTTTCACCAACTCCCACATATCATTTTTATGTAAAGCGTCAATCTCCTCCTCTATTGCCTTATGCCACCTTTCAGCATTAGGGCAATAAATAGCCTCTTGAAAATATTCAGGTTCACCACTATCAGTATACAAAGCATAATATAAGGAAGGAGAATACCTTTGTGTGGGCGTGTGGATCTTCTCAATTCTGGCTCAAGTGTAACTAGTAGTCATTCTTCATCTTGAATTAACTCAGTGTCATCCTCTTAACTAGCATCACCTCCATCAAAATTGTCTTGAGCTTGACTCTACTTGCCGAGGTGAAACAATGGGATTTGGTTCTTGTATATCCACAACAAGCCTTTCTTGTTTCTGCTCTTCCTGTTTCTTTCAGCAAACATTACATTCTCATTAAAGCGAATATCTCGATTTCTAATAGTTTTCTTTGCAATAGGATCCCAAATCCTATAACTTCTATCATCACCACCATACCCAAGAAAAACACATCTTCTTGACTTAGCATCCAACTTGGTTCTATTTTCACTGGGCACTTGAACATAAGTTTCACACCCAAATGTTCTCAAGTGTTCATATGACACACTTTTGCCTCTCCATAGAATTTCAGGTATTTCACCATTCAACGGTGCATTAGGAAATCTATTGATCAAATATACAGTTGTATTAGTAGCTTCCGCCCAAAATTGCTTATCAAGACCAGATTGCGATAGCATGCTTCTCACACTTTCAATGATGGTCCTATTCATTTTTTTAATGATACCATTTTGTTGTGGTGTCTTAGGAACAGTCCTTACTCTACGAAGTTTCAAGGTTTTCAAAGCCAAGGTTGAAAACTAGAGTCATCTAACTGCCCGGCTGAAATGAGATTTTTATTCAACTCAAGAACATACCTCACATTTTCTCAATGTGTGCTTCTTTCTATCTGTTTGCTTTATAACAACATTTCCAATGCTCAATATTTTGCAAGCTCGATCATCACTAAGATAAACCTAGCCACCATCCACATCTGTGTAGGATGAAAAATATGACCTTTCTAGGCAAA